GGTGCTCATAGAAATTCAAGTTTGAAATGTTGTCAAATTGAAATGTTGTCTTATTTGTGTGAAAGGCACTCTGGTTATATTTGTTTACCAGTATAAGTATTCTCGTATGAAAGACTGGAATTGTTTGATAATATTTGATTTGTATTATTTACTGGAATTGTTTTGTATTTGAAATTTGGACTGGAATGGTGTATAAGTATTGGAATGGTTGTATAAGTATTCTCGTATGAACTATGGAGTAGTAGAGTTCGTGATTTATGGTATTGGAACAATGGAAAGGCACTCTGGAGTCTGGAATGTGGAGTTGAATATGGAATTGTTATTCAGTTTCATCCTTTCCTCTTGAATTTGAGATAGCCGACTTGTTTTTACTTGTGCATTCACTTTGAACAGGTTTTCCGTTTTTTAACAAGAGAGGAGAGGGCCAAAAAAAAAAAAAAAAGAGAATTCGGTGAATTCGGAATTCACCAAATTCCGAATTCAATTCAGTAGCGAATTCGAAATCGGCATTAGCCATTTTGAAATCGAATTCGGTCGGGAAAATTAAGGCCAAAATTTCAAAAATTTCCGATTTCAAACTTCCGAATTATCATTTTCGAATCGATGCACATCCCTAATTTTTACTCTGTTTCTTCTCTGTACCTGTTAATCCACAACATGTAAGACTTATCCAACATTGTATTTATGCACATGAACTAATACAACACACATACATCATGAAGTCCAAATACAACATACCAATTTCACACTAACATTTCTATTCTATTTATGTTATGTACCTATTCATCCACTACATGTAATACCTATCCAACATTGTTTTGTTGCCATAAACTAACAAACTTGTAACATTTTTTGCACGCTGAGTATGACACACACAACAGTCTATTATTCTGCCTAATGTATTTATATTACTGCCACTCTCCTATCACCAAATTCCATGCAATCCATTTCATCTTTTATGGTCCTATTTTTCAAATGGGATTCAGGTCACATACAAGAGGTAGCACTTTCACAATACAATATAATATGTCTTCGTACCTAACTTTTGTTATTTTCTAGTCTTTTTTCTATACTATGAACTACATACATCATGTTTTGACTTTGTTATTAATGTTTTACACCTTAACACACCGTAACATTTTTTCTCCATGTCACTTTTTATTCAAATAAGATAATACTCATCCAACGTGCTATGTGAACTGTCCTTCACTGAATGATCTTCTGACTATTTGGTTTCGCAGTGTATGATACCCTTAACACGTCGTACGATTTACTTAGCACATAGTAATTACAATCTACATCCATTTTTTCCACCTACGAACTTCCAAACCTATGCACACATTTTCTCAAGCAATTGTGCCACAAGATTTCCCACTTCTTTCCCACTCCTGTTTCGACGCTCAAGACTAGCACGTAATACTCCTTTGACGCTGCACTTATCAATTACTATACACAAAATCATATTCACGTAACATCTCTTTATGCAATCATCATAGTGTACATCAAAAACATCCACAAGTAAAGTCCTTCCACTTTTTTGTCAAACTACGCACATTACTATCACTCTAGGCTTACTCATGTTTTATTTGACTGCTTTGTGCTCGATCATTACTCGGATCCCACGATCTTCCACTTTGTAACTTGGGTTCACCTTTCTTCTTCTTTTAGTAAACCCTAATCACAAAAAATTTGTTCTTCTGCCACCACTTCTTGCTTCTCCTTGCTGTGATTTTCCTTTAACAATGCCACAGTTCCATAGCTTTTCGCAATGTCACACGTATGTTGCCAATCTCCTATTTTTCTCTGTTATTTTTCTCTCGTATCTTGCCCTATTTTTTGGCAGATGTGGATTTCGGCAACTGCTTCATTTTGGAGGAAGTGTAATTGGGTCTTTTCATTTTCAACTATTCATTTTGTGCGGGACTTTGCTAATCCTCGGTGCTGACGTTTCGTAACAAATCCATTAAGGTCAGCACTTCTTCTATTTTTTTTTACCTTCTCACTAAAACAAATGCGTCGTTTTTTGCCCCTGCTAAAGCTTCCTGACGTGGATCATTTCTCACCTTTTGTTGTCACTTGTGAGGAGACAGTTCGAGAACGGTCCATCTGATGATCGTTCCCGCCCCTAATTCCAGCACTAAGGAACCTACAACTTCAAGCGTCCAATTCAATGAAAAAATATATAAAATTGAAACTGCTCATTTTCAATTTGAATAAGGATAAGGGTAAATGTGCATCACATTTTCAAGATCTTCATTTGCTTCTACAAGGTAAACTTATAAAATTTGAGTTTTTTGGTGAGTATCATGCTAACAAAAATGCTTTTAGTTGTTTTATGAAGTTTTGCTTAGGGTTAAATGCCGAAAACCTCCATGAACTATAGTATGAGTTGCACTTTGTACCTTGAACTATTTTAATGAGCGCTTTACAACATTGGTCAACTAAACAATGATGAAAAAATAAGTCTAGCCAAGTAATTGATCAAGTGACCGATTTATCCTCCATTAAAAGTTTAAGTGACAAAAATACTCTTTTAGCTAGAAAAATTTTCACTTTAGAAAGACTAATTTTAGCTTCATATTAAAAGTTTAATTGAAAATATTTACATAAAGGGACAAATATGAAAAAAATTTGAAGAACTACTGTTACAATTTCTAAAATCTCATCATCTTGGTTAGCACATCATAATGCCATATCTTCACGTAATAGCAAAAATTACCTGAAATCTTACAAGAATTTAAATGAAGTATACCCAAAAAAGATTATATGAATTTAGCACAATTATATCAGCAAAGGTTCAATACTACACCCAGATTAGAACTGGGAAACAAAATAATGCACCTAGAAATTAAAAAAATTAAATTAGTTTTATGCATATAAAAAATTAAAGGTACAGTTCAAAGTTAGAGAAATAATTGTCATTCAAAATGACCTCCTCCCCTTCTCCCTTGATATATTGATTTTTATATGTTTTGGTAGTTGAAGGTTGAGAAATTAAGAATTGAAAAGTTTGCCTCCTTTCGCTTGTATCATAAATACATTTCCCAATTTACCTTTTATATTTCCAACCACCTTTTTATCTCACATACATCACATCACAAAAAGTGTTATAGTAATTATTCTAAATAATTACTTGGAATAATGCTCTATCCAAACAAAGCCTTTGTTTTCCTTCATTTCTTTCTTGAGCCGGTCCGTTTGTTTGTTTATAAATTCAGCTGTCAAACTATTTATCCTGTGAGTCATTTTCCTAAATTGCCAGTTAAACTTTTAATGGAGGATAAGTTGGCTATTTCACTAATTAAATAAATGGAGTTAATTAATTTTTCTGTCAATTTTTAGATGACTAATAGGGTAAAATGACTATTAAAATATGTGTGTGAAGCACAAATCTTATAATAGTTAGTAGGGATTTTTTTGCATTTAACCCTTAATAAAATGTCAATTTCAATGTAAAACAACCAAATTGCCAACACCTCATTATTGCATTTTATCAATGTAATGAAGAACCGCAAATAATGAAAAATTTTGAATATATCTTTAATAATAGGTCTGAAATAGGAATTGGAGTACAACATGACATGTCATCTTTCTTATTTTTTATTTTTAAGAAATCATATTTCATATTTTTGGTAAATTAATACTTCAATTTATATATATATTTTTTGATAAATATCTACTACTTTTTTTGGACATACTACTCCTTTTTTTTTTCTTCGATAAAAATATCTACTATGTTTCTTAAACCTATCTGAACTATATTGAGGACATTTATTTTCTACACAAACAAAAAGTTATTTTGTCATTAGAACATTTTATGAAGTCAAGTGATACCAAAACCTTACGAGAATTCCTAATTGTAGTATATGGTAATTTACTTTAGGCCCAACCCAAACCGTTATTATTCAAGTTCACTTTTTTTTTCCTTTTCTTTTCTTTTTCCTCTGAAGAAAATTTAAATAATATATAAAAGATTAAATGCAGAAAATTTCTATGAACTATTACGCTAGTTGTACTATACACCCTAAATTATTTTATTAGGCACTTTACACTCTTGGTCAACCAAAAAATAATAAGAAAATTAACTGCATCCAAATAAATTGATGAAATGACCAATTTATCCTCTATTAAAAGTTTACAAATATCAAAAATACCTTTTTTGGTGGAAAAATATTGCCACTTTAAATGGATTAATTTTCATTTTATAATAAAATTCTAATTGAAAATATATAACAATAAAATATATGATCACTTTGAATGAAAGTTAAAACAAAAGAAGTAGGAAAAAGGGAAGAAAGGGAATAAATTGAATTCAAAAGTCTCAACAACCCTATTTTACTACATATTTCAAGTTAACCTATGTAAGAAAAGATTGCTATCAAGGAAAAGGCACTGTGAAGTCCTGTTTATTCCTCTAATTTTCTGCAATACTTTCATTTTATTTCTATATGCATATAACAAATTAAATAATTTAGGTGTTTTATTGAAACACCTGACCAATATTTTGTTTACGAAAGTATGGGTTTTATTTTACGTTTGGTATTTTAAATCTTTGTTATAATTATCGTGCTAAATTCATATGAAAATTTTTCGGTTTTACTTCAATTTTATTCTTGTGAAGATTTCAAGTGAAATTTTACTAATTATATGAAGCTCTGGTATTATGATGTGCTGAAGAAAATTATGAAATTTTAAAAATTACAATAGCAGCGATTTTTCCATATTTTCCTTTCATTTGACCAATAGTCTTAATTCTTATTCAAAGCGAAGCAACAATACACACACGCATACTTTTTGTTATATAAAGTGAAAAATTAGTCTAATTAAAGTAGTAATCTTTTCCACCAAAATCGTATTTTTGCCATTTATGTTTTTATTGGATAATAAATTACTTGAATGAAATTAATTTCGTGTTAAGTGCCTATTAAAATATTTTTAGGGTGTAAAGTGCGAGTAGTACAACAATTTGTGGTGTTTTTTTTTTTTTTTTTTTTTTAAATTTTGCATTTAACCCAATAAATAAGCACGCTAATCGAGCAAATGCAGAAAATGCCAGGAGTCAACATTCAACAATAAAACTCAAGAAACGTTGCAGAGGTTTCATCTCAATGGGCTTTCCTGTCTATTTCTCCACATAAACCCCAGGTTCTTTAACTTTTGTAACCCTTCTTTTCTTTTCTTTCTAATTTTTTTAATCTTTTGGGTATAAACAGCATAAAGCTTTAATTTTTCATTCTGCAAGTTAATAGTTTTTGTGAATTGTTGATTGAATTATGGTTCTATGGAAATTTTCAGATAGTGGGTTGTAATTAAAATTGGAGAAATTTGATTTAAATTACTTGGAAAGATTGAAAAAGATAAGAACAATAAAAGGAAGAGGGAGTAGGGATGGTGCTGGTTTTAGCATTGGGTGATCTCCACATCCCCCACAGGGCACCTGATCTGCCTGCAAAGTTCAAGTCTATGCTAGTACCTGGAAAGATCCAGCATATAATCTGTACTGGCAATTTGTGTATTAAAGTAAGTATCTTTTCTTTCCCCTTTTACTCATTCATTTATTTGTTAATTGGTTCTTGAAAAGTTTCCAGAGGTAAGCTAGGCAAGGGTGAGAGACCAATGGGTTTTTAGGACGGAGTTTTAGTTTGATTTTCAGTTTTTAGTTCCAATTTTGCAGACTGGTTTTTTTAAGTAAATTGTTGTTCGGGAGTGAATTTATCTTAGTTCCTTTGTTTTGTGGTTTAGTTAGGAAATGAAAATTTAACTTCCAAGAAAAAGCAGGAGCTCGTTTTTGGTTTTGAAGGAATATAATAAGCGAACTGTACTGTACTCGGTCAACAATAAAAGCTTCTCGTACTGGTGCAGTATTCATGAGAGGTGATGCAGAAAATATGTGACTTGGAAAAGTAATACTCAGTGAGGATTTAGTTCTGCTGCTGACATGTAGTCTAGAGAGTTAAGATGTTGCCATAGAGCTAAGATATTGTGCATAATGTCATATTTCCACCAAAAAAGTTTTCTTTTGGCATCAATTGTATTTGAAAGTTAGAGATGAACACTTAATTTTTTACATGATTTGCCTTTCGGTTATCTGATATTTTTTTGGTTAGTTTTTGTTTTAGGTGATTTAACAATTTCTCTAAGTTTTTTGTCCGCATTGTAGTTCTTCTCAGGTACTACCATTTAATTGACTACAGATAGCAATGTCCTCAAATGCATGTAAACTTCTGTAAATACTGCACAACAATTCACTTGCATTAGTAGTAGCCTAATTGTGTAAATACATTTATGCATTGCTGTCTAGATGCAGTTTAAAACTTATGTGTATTTATTCACTTTATGAACTTTGAATGCCAACTTTTTCTGTTAAACACTTAAACTTGAAATGCTGTTGGAGAGTCAAAGGACGAGTAAATCCAAAAATATTTTGAGATTTGTTTAAGCTGCTGTTTGAGCTTCTGGAAAAGTTTAAAGCAGTTTTAACTCCTCAAAAGACTACTCAGCATTCAGGTTGATTGTCTTTATGGTTATTGATTAGTGTAATTTTTGTAAATTCAAAAAATTCATCCTGTCAAATACTTCTTACCAATTAAGGAACAGGTTAAGCGGTCTAGGAAAATTTAGATTTTTATATTAGGCAATAAGCATGGTGTCTAATTGGGAGTCCTCGCCACAGAAGGATAAGCATTAGCTTATGGAAAGTAATCGTGTATCTTTTATTATCTGCATCTTGAAAATACCATGATTGTGCTTTTGATAATGTGTTGTTCATGAGCTTCCCTTGGTTATAAAATCAATATTACCTCTGAAGGTCGTTTCAAAAACTTTATGTAGGTTCCTAGAAGTTCTTCTTCTTTTTCTCTTAATGAACTCTTTGTTGCCTCAAGATGGTCCTGAAATATGTTGATTTGCTGGAGCATTTCCGAAACTTGTTAAGCACCACTTACATTTCCATGCAATAATTTTTTTTTTTTTTTGGAGGGGGGGGTGTTTATGCAGGAGTGCATTGCTGCCAAGTAAATCATGTGTATCTAGATCTGATTCATATAGGAAGATCTCAAATTTTTTGGTCAGAAATCTAACAAGTGAAGGCTTAATAAACATCAGTGCCATGGTATTATTATTCCTTTTTTGATAAGTATGGGCCTGAATTATTTTTGCAAGTTGAAGAAGGGAAATTAGAAGAACCATAGAGTTTAGTTTCATTAGAAAAAGAAAGCTTTTTTATCTCTGATACTCAAACAGTGTAATCAGATATGGTCAAATTGTGGAGAAGTAAGTAACCAAGTAAAAAGTGTGGTGGGGAGGAACTGTCAAAAATCTTAAAAATTGGGAATTGGCCATAGAAAGGGTTCTAGGCATAAAATTTTTCAATACAGAGTGATTTCATTGGGATTTTATCTTGTCATCAAAATCTTAGCCTAGAGAAATAATGAAAATTTAGTAAAGATCTGGTCTTATTAACATAGCTGAAAGGGTGAAATATTCAAATTTCTCAATCTTAATTTGGTTCTTTAATGATATTGTCTAGTTATTTGAAGCTGGTTTCTTATAATATAAGCAAATCTTGGATAAGATTTGATTTATAACATTGAATAGTTTGGTTTCCAATTGTTTACTTACTAAGTACTTGAGCAGCGCTAAAACGAGCTTAGCTATATTGGAAACAATTAAAAAGCTCAAAAGTGGCTGGATTTAGTTTATGAATCAAAATTTAAATACAGTTTTCCCCAGATGCAAGCTAAATTTGAAGTAGCTTTGAAATTGTAAGCAGCAGTGTAGTAGTTATAAATCTATCGAAATGAAGTTCTTTTGGTTGATAGTTGGCATGTTGGTTGAACCAAAGCAATACCGATGTCAATTTAGCTGCTACGTATTGTTCTCTGAGGAGGAAGGCAAGATATCCATAAAAACTTGTTAGGCCAGTACTGATATAATATTTTTGAGAATCAAACAGCTATATTGACAACTGGATGAAGAGTATAAAATGCAAGAGTAACATTTTGCTTCAGAGCCATTGGAGGTTCTTCTCGTACCTTAGAAGTCCCCTACTGCTAAGCCTTACTGTCAAAGGACAGGTGCACTTTAGCAGCGGAAGAACATATGGCATGCTTGCATACAGCCAATTGGCTGCAGGAGATACTGGATGTTGAGCTCAAAGAGACAACCTTTGGGTGTCTTTCAGTCTGAAAGAAGGTTCATATTGATAGAGACTTGGAAAGGAGAGAAAGAAATATGAGTAGATAATGTGCATGAACTTTTCAAAGTTAGATCTCTATTTCGTATCCGCTATGATAAGTGAGACATGAATGATTTCTTTGTAGTGGGGATGCATTTGTTTAGACTTCATATGATGCTCTGTTAATTTGCCTACTTTTGAAACTAAGGGTCTTAGTGGTAAGCAATTCTTTTCTTGAGTCTTATTCGTCCATTTAGTTGGTTTTGCTTTATTTTGATGTACTGAAGTTAAAATTTCCCTATAACTGTATACATGAGGAGTTGACGGACATGAGGATAGCTTGCTTATGATTTGGTTGAGTAGGATGTAATTTTCTGCAAGCTGTTGCCTAGAGGATCATCCATGCATACATTTCTAATTCTGTAATGTTAGAAACTAAACTTTCTTTTATTCCTTTTTGTACATTTGGTAATTATTCAGCTGCGAACGCCTGCTTGTTTAAAGAACATGCCAAATCAGAGGGGAGAGATTTAAAGAAAGAAAATTAAATTATATATAGAATGGAAATAACTCAATTGGAGGTTTCTATCGATTATTCAAGAGATTAACTCTGACATGCTGCCACAAAAATCTTGCAATTTTGGTGCATAGGCTTCATGGTTGCAAGGCAATTTTTTTTTTTTCCAAACTGATGAAGTTAAATCTTCAGTTCTCGAAAGCACTTGAGTAGGATGTTTTACAAACACTCCTTATTTTTTCCCCCCAGTAACAAGTGGATCATTGATCCCCTTCTATTTATCCTAATGCTATGATTTTTGGAGTCATTCGTAGTGGTTCATTTGGAAGTTCATTCAAATGTGTGATTTCCAATAGCAGGTTCCTTCCTGGTAGCTGGCTTTCTGACTTTTGAAGCATGTTTATTACATTTGGACAATATCCAATGTAATCTTAGGACTTGGTATAATCTTTATGTAAACATTTTTCTCTCACTTTCCCTGTAAAGTTTCGAAATACAAATGTATTTTGCCCTTTTTTCTTATTTATTTTTATGTACTATCGGTATGTGGCTTCTAGCAGAACTATCGTAATGTTTGGTATGCTGTTTACAGGAGGTTCATGACTACTTGAAGACCATCTGTCCTGACCTGCACATCACTAGAGGTGAATATGATGAGGAAACACGCTATCCAGAGACCAAAACTCTAACCATTGGTCAATTTAAACTTGAATATCCATGGCCACCAGGTCTGATTTCCTTTCTTTCTTGTGATTCTTCTGCTTTAGTTGAACTTAACTTGGGATTGTGCATTGACCTCCTGGTCAGGCTGACCTCTAATTGGTAGTAGATGGAACTTCATCTAACTAATTTAATATTTCAATAGCAGCTTTTGTGCGTCCTCTTCAGCATTTGCTATAGTGGTAGACTTGATAGCATCAAAACTGTCTCCTCCCTTGAGCCTAAGAACACTGCCGCCCCCCCTTTCTCCACCTCAGCACGCCATATGATATGCCAACGTATAGGTTTCTGGCTGCAAATATAATGCTGGTTTTAATCTGATCTTATCATAATCTTTCTGGAATTTTGCCTTCTGAAGGTTATTCCATGGGGGACCTGGACTCACTGGCCATGCTTCAGAGACAGCTGGATGTTGATATTCTTGTGACTGGTCATACACATCAGTTCACAGCATATAAACATGAGGCTGGGGTGTAATAAACCCAGGATCTGCCACTGGTGCCTACAGTAGCATCACCTATGATTCAATCCTAGCTTTGTGCTGATGGACATCGATGGCCTGTGTTGTTGTCTATGTTTATGAACTAATTGATGGAGAGGTAAAGTTGATAAGATCGATTTCAAGAAAACAACAGCATCTGCAAACTCGGCTCACTGATGACATGATGCTGCTGTTTTGGACTACATAAATTTGTTCAAGCTTAGCGGTCCATTTGCTTGTGTGTATGTTTGAGCTTTATCTTTACTTCAATGTGGATTTTCGTGCGTGCCCGCTTCCTTTTTCTTACCTTTTTTTATACCTTAGTTCGTCCGATGATATTTTGAGAGGCTGTAATTAGATGATAAAAGGAATGAGGCTTTATTGGATGGTTTATTCATTCATTTATGATCCTTTATGACGCTAACTCCCCATTCTATCTTCATGAGCTTTCTTTACTTTGTACCAAGTATATCTCAGTGTAACCAGCTACTGCTGCTTCCCTCACCGCCTTAGCCTTGCGCCGCAAAATGCCATCATCCTCCTATGTTTCCAGGGATCCTTTTTAACTCAGGCACTGTATGACAATCTCCTGCATTTGCTAATGCTGCTCGAATGAAAGGTCGTAATATAATAGGATATGGCACTTCTTTTTCTGGTTCTTTGGAGGGCCAAAGGCCCTGATCTACGATTATATCCCGGGAAAGCTACCCTGATGTCTGCCCCTGCAGTTATCTAGCTTCGTTAGGTGAATCTCTCAGAATCATTGCCCCACAAGGATCATTGTAAGGCTGGTTTTTACCAGGACATCTTCACAACAGTTCCTTCCCCCCCCCCCCCCCCCCAGCAGTTTTCTAACTTCATTAGGTGATTCTCTCAGAATCATCACCCAGGATCATTGTCAAGGCTAGTTATCAGCAGGATATCTGCACAACTGTTGCCTTCCCAAATGAGCTCCAAATATGGCGCTCATTTGCCACCACAGAATCAGTTTCCTGTTTCCGGTATCACCTTCCTAACTCTCAAATTCCATGCCAGCCACAGCCCGTACGTTATAGCCATAACTCAGTAGCTATATTACTAACAAGTAGCAATTCTAAAGCTTAGGGCAATTCAGAAGTCAATTGCCTAGGCTGTGAATTTGTTCATATTTGCATTGTGCAAGCGTAGCAAATAAACTTATCACTGCTTTCTTCGTTAAACTTATGTGGTAGATATTAACGTTTAAGTCATGTGCTACTATGGATTAAACACTAGGCACAAAACTATCTAGGAAAAATTATTTAAAATGTCCTCATAGTTCGCCAACTAAATTTTTTTACCTTTGCTTTTAAAATATTAATTTTATCCTTATAAATTCAAGTTAGCAAAGTTTAATCCTAACCTAAGTTTCTAACTGTTTTTTAGCCTGAATTCACTATATGACTTACATGCAGTCATTTTTTATAGTATACAGAAAGATCACATTTTATTTTTTTTTTAGTGGCAAAATTGAATATGGATTGATCAGATCCCACTTTTTAGAGAAAAAATTATTAGAGTTCGTGTTAGATCTTACTTTTTAAAACAAAAATAAATATGGATAGCGTCATTTGTTTAGCTACAAATGCAATCTAACCTTTTTGTCCTTAAAGAAAAAAGACTATATATGGGTCATATGATGAATTCAGAATAAAATGTGATCGAAAACTTAGATTAGAATCAAATTTTATCGACTTGATATTATAAGGGACATAAAGTTACCATTTTAAAAGTGAAGAATGAAAAAATTCATTTTTCGAAATATTAGGAATCTTTTGAACGAATTTTTCCAACTATCTATATGGAAATGAATGTAGTTCTGATTTTCATACATTTATTTATGGTCATTCAAACGAACCAAAACTTCCTTTATTTCTCCTGCTTGAGACAGATATCGTTCCCATGATTACAAGCTATTTTCTTCTAAACGATACTTTTAATCCTGAGCTCTAGATATTTTGAAATCAACCAGCAGAAATAGGCACAATGAATCATCTTTTAATTATCATATCAGTGCTTAAATATAAACAAGCAATGCAAGGGCACGATTATGCAAAAATAAAATTTGCATGGAGAAAAATTTGTTAATTATGAGTACATACACACCAACTAATAAGAAACAATTCGTCTAACGGTACCAATAGGGCACTCGTTAAGATATATTTCAGGTGTTATATTTTTAAAATCTAAAATTTATTAGAAAAGTAAATAAATATAAGGGAGGTAAGTAAGATTAAATAGGAAAAGTATATAAATACAAAAGATGATAATAATTATTAGTATACATACATATCATATATATATATATAATATATATATATAGTAGGTTAGGTGAATATTAGGTATGTTAATGAGTGCCCTAAGGGCATCCATTAGAAAAATCCGATAAAAAATAATGATAATAAAAATTTGTTATTAATAAGACCAGGGACAAAACTATCTACGAGGAAATGAACCTAGTGCAAAAATGAGCTTTGCATGGAGAAAAATTGGTTAATTATGAGTACATATAGAGCAACTAATAATAAAGATTTGGTACCTTACTAGAGGTTCTTCATCAAATAAAAATCTATTGGTCTCCTATGACATGATTAATTTTTTTTCTGTAAGAAGAATCTAATTTTCCAAAATAGCCCTTTTCCAAAGGCAAACAAACACAAATATGAGATGCGTGCATTTTCGATGCCTTTACCGGGAACAAGTCAAGATTAAAATTCTGTGAATATATCTCCAAATATTTCTAGGCAAATACAAGGTGGTACAAACACCATGTGCTTAAGAAGAAAACCTTGATCATTTGATGGCAACAAATTTATGTATGTATATTTTCTTGATGTTCCCACAAAATTTTATAGAGAGTAATTCTTAATTGCAGCATTGTTTAGTTGGCAAGCTCATCAATGAGACATATATGTACCCAAATAGTTCCAGCAGATAATAAGTACCTGAGGTCGGTTTTAGTTGCCACATTGCTCATTTCTTTTCAAAATTCTCACAATCCCAACTTTCCTAAAAACTGCCATTTAATTACTCAATTAATACACAAAATCTTGATAATAATTAATCAAATCTCTGGACTTGCCTAGGATGTTTATATATATGAAGAACTGAATTGGGCATTCTTCAGAAACCATTCTCGAAATTCTTGTGTACCAAAAAAAAAAAGTCATTATTTTCTAGGATTTTTTCTTTCAAACTTTAGAGAATGGAGCATGAAGCTGATACACCATCTGATGATTTTTGTGATGCCTGGCAGGGTGATCATCTTGAAATACCCAAAACTGATCAACCTGCACCATCTGATGATGGTGATGATGATACTCAACAATTCTTCATCAAATTTAAGGTGGAGTTCATCTATCCGCCAGACATCACATTGGAAGATGATGAAGATTATGTGCTAGTTGAATTTGGTTTGGAAAGCAGCACCTCAATTCACCAATTTTGGGCTCCTTGCAAAAGATCAGACAGTGAAAACTTGTCATGGGATGAAATCTCTACCATGCTAACAAGAATCAATGTTCCATTGCATAAGCAGCCATCCATGTTACACCGAATTTCAACCTGTGCTAATCATATAGCCAATGCAGATCATAACAGGTCTAAAAAAGTATTGCCTATGATGGTTTCGATAAGTATTCTTGTCGATTACTCCTGCTACAAGCAAGAAGATGCTAGCACTTATGTGCTGAGGAACAACGCAGATGTTGCCAAATTGATGCCTGTTCCTGCTAGTAATGAATCAGTTGAGGGACTGAAGAAGGAGATTCTTGAAGATCAGGGCAATGTTTCTGTTAAACAATGCATGATTTGCCTGGAAAACCTTCAAGCTGGATCCGAAATCATGGGCATGCCTTGCTCTCATCTCTATCATCAAATATGCATTTTGCATTGGCTTAAGATTAGCAACTTTTGTCCCATTTGTCGCTTCCAGTTGTCTGCTTGAGTTTCTTGGAATTTCATGATGTCTAGGGAGTTGGGATCAGGTTCTACTAAGGCCCTTTTCTGGCCTTTAGCCTCTATTTTCTATAGTTCATCTGATGGAAGTTGGGTCCTTTAAAAATGGTGAAGTTTATTTGCTTTGTGACATCAATTTATTTAATGCCTTGGGGCAAGGATCGAATTAGTTGCTGAATACAAGTACAACTAGACACATGAATATGAATATTACTAAATAAAAATACTTTTTTTAATTTAAATTTTCTTTTTAGCCGGGATCCTTTCTCATTTTTTCAATCCCACTCCTCTCTCCTGTCAAAAAATAAAAAATAAAGTACTTTAATTCTCCTCATATCACTATTTTTTTCCCTCAATCTTGAACCCTCACCCTAGATAAAAACTTGCACGAGTAACGCATCAAAAGATATATCAATTGTACCCTTTGGTTATACTTCTTGCATTCGAACTGCAATTCAGGAACATTATGGCTTAGAAACCATAACGACGAATAACAAATTATATTCAAATTCCGAAGTTATTTTGTTC